GCACTACAAGTAACGTTCAAAAAGGAGCAGGAAGAAGCTTAAGCTTATTTAATCCCACCCCCTTTCCACTCTAACAACCAATAGCCTACAGACATTCCTCCTTTTAGTTTCAGTATAAATGACATGTATATTTTTAAGAACATTGAGATACCCACCGCAACAAACCCGTGCACAATTATGTCAACTTTGCACAAGATCATCAGTTCTCAACCTCCTTGTGCTCTGCAAAAACCAAATCCTTAAACTGCTTTTTAAATTGCCTCATGCTTGGGCATTGCTTCATATCTGCACTGAAACGTCCACAGCTTCACTCCACACACAGAAATGCAAAAACCTTTTAATGTCGTACAGATACAAGAACATTTTAAGTTAAATTCACCCCTCAAATTGTATCCCCCTTCCCTTTTAGAAAATAATTTTAGAATGTTGTCAGGAAGTAGTTTATTTATTGCTTTATACATAATCTGTGCCGTGAGAAAATGCACCAGATCTGGAAATTTTAAAGTTTTAGATTTTAAGAACAGTGGATTGGGATGATCTTTGTAGCCAGTTTTATGAATTATTCTAAAGGCCCTTTTCTGTAATATAGAGATTGTTGATAATGGACATTTGTAAGTATCGCCCCAAACCTCTGCACAGTAGCACAAATACGGTGCAACCATGGAGCAATATAGAATGTGGAGGGATTTGTGGTCCAGAATGTGTTTTACTTTACTCAGTATTGATATACTTCTTGAAATTTTATTATGGATATTATTTATATCATCATCAAAGGGCCATGAACCCCATGTACTTATATTTATGTAGTTACTTTATATTAGCCTAGAAATCTAGACCAACAGCAGTAGTGAAGGATTTAGCTCTACAGGTTGGTCTAGCCATTATTAAGCATTAATAAACTATTAAAGTATTGACAACGGCTTAACCATACTATGAAATGCATTGCTAAGCAGACACCCCCAGACCCTTTGTCCTAACCTTAAGGACACTTGATAGTTAACTGTAATGGTAAGGTTAATAAAGAGATACTTCATTTATTGTTGCTTAATAATGCACTAATTAATGTTAATAAAGGGGCCCTTATTGTAAAGTGTTACCCAAGCTTCCTGTAAAACTCTTCTTCTGCTGCCATTCCTACAGCTGTAGTGTTTCTTTCTGTAGCAACACCTGCTGGCTATGAACGTTACAGCAGGAAGTGGGATGCTTTTAATGTGTAGTTTGCCAACAGCTGTATCCAAAATGACTTTCACCGCAACATAGCATGCAGGTTTTGGGACTCTCGGAAAAAGCTGGACAAGAAAAAATCTGTGCATAAATAGTGAGAACAGGCAATGTCCAAGCAGAGAGGCTGCCCTGGGATTCGAACCTTTAACCTTCTTACTGAGAAGTAACAGGGCAATTAAAAACTAGCATGCAGGCATTTTGAATGTAAACAGAAGCTGTTCCGTGTACGTATGTTCCTGACTCTGCCAGAGATCGGAGTGCTCTACACACCTGAACCTCTGGTACTAAAACCGCTCGTGTCCATGTAAATGTACCGCTCGTTTTCATTGTCTGAATAAAAACTAAAAAGTGTCTCAAGTGAGAAAAATGCAGAGACCATCTAGGAAACTGTTGGGAAATATGAATGAAAATCTGATAGTTGTGTTTCATTTGACTTTGCAGGTTCTGGTGATGTTGATGGATCAGTTGTGAAGGCTGTGGACTCCTCCAGCTGTAGAGCAGGCTCAGGTGTTCTGCCTGAACCTCTGTAGCTCACAAGTGTGACTGTTCCAGAGCATCAAAACTCTGTCCCTACACACACACGCACACGCACGCACGCACGCACACACACACACACACACGCACACACGCTGCCCCCACCACTCCTCGTGTGTTTTTACTCTCCCTGCTTTGTTCCTGTTCTTAATTACAGCCAAGCTCTCCTCGGAGAGCTCGGAACCGCTCCCCACCTCCACGCTGCAGCCTCCTATTAAAGCCAGGCACCCAAACACCTCCCCGCTACCTTTATGCAGAACACAATTAAAAAGCTGCAGAGATCAAAAAGATGCCAGAAGCTTGATGAGGAAGATGTTTTTTCTAAGAAATGCAGATTCGGGTTATTGATGGCTGCACAGTTTGGAAATCATTATGGGACAAGAAGTAATCAGAGGAGCTGCATCAGCATTTTAGTCATTGACAAACCCCCCCCCCCCCCCCCCCCCCCCCACACACACACACACACACACAGTGATGTTTTATTAGGAGTCTGATCATATTTCAGCATGAAAAACATGTTTGTCAGAAACAACAAACACTGTAGCTGCTGTGAGATTTTTCTCATCACAGAAATCTGTTTCAGGACCTTTTCACTAAACTGGCTTTGGTTCAGATGCATGTGGACGCCTCTTTACTTTTAGTGTGTTTCAGAAAATTACAGATAAATGGGAATCGATGTTGAGCGTGTGAGTGTGTATACTATTATATGTATACACACACACGTTTCACGTGTTATATGTCTATATTTATACAGGTGAAACTGGAACATTTGAATCTGATACAAAGTGAGACAGACACATTCCATGATGGTTGTGGCTCACAGCTGATGAAAACTCCCCGTTTCAAATCTCAGACAATCAGAATGTTGTGAAAAGGTTCAATATTCTAAACTCCGATCAGCTGCTGAATCCAGAACACCTGCAGAGGGTTTCTGAGCCTTTAGATTGTCTCTCAGTTTGAGCTAGACTACTGAATTAATTAAATAAATAAATAAATAAATAAATAAATAAATAAATAAATATGTACTCTCCTGGGGAACAAAAGGCCCTAAGTCTGAACGGACTTAAGAACATAGACAGCTGAGTGTGATATATCACCATGGTGACAGGACTTTTCATATCTTAAGTGCACTGGGAGTTGTGTATTTTACAAAGATAAAAATGTTCAATGCAATGTAATAAAGCACTGCACAAAATAAAATGCACAAGTGAACTTTACACCTGGTGAAAATGTTAATCCAACATCCCGGTCACAAATCAGAATTTCTTTAATTTTATTTCATTATTTACTAATTCAGATTTGTTTTTCTTTTTGTCTTTAAAACCTGTGAATTAAACTTTGTGCAGCCCTGCATTAAAACATGTAGCATTTGGTAATAATGAAATAACCCAGTAGGATGTAACTTAAATCAAAACTGAAAACCTTCATGTCTTCATCAGCCTGTAACTTGTGTCTCTTACGCTCAGCCTTTTATAAATGTGATTTATTTTATCTGCTGTTTTATTTCTCACTTTGATTTTAATGCTTTATGTTCTCGTTGTTCTTGCTCCTGGAGAGCACTGAATTACTTACAGGGCTGCCCTGCCTTTTTACAACTGTTACTCCAGTCAAGTAATACAGCTTATGCAGAATGAAAATTCACATGAATCCAGATCACACTGGATAAAGTTTATTCTAATTATTGTGTATTTATGAAGTAATTATGTAATAAAACCCTGGATTCTTCGGGGGGGGGGGGGGGGGGGGGTCGGAAGACGTGAATCTGTTGTAAAACTACCAGCTGATCGCTCACGTGACCACTGATAGATTCTCCTCTATGCTGATTCTGATATTAGAATAGACTTCCGGGAGCTGATCTGTGATCAGATTCACTGACTTTGTTTGGATCGCTGTCTCTTTTAAAGTCGGACGAAAATAAGTCTGATCCAAACAAACCGCGTTTTTTCCTTAATCTCTCCATCTAATATTATATTTCCCGCACGCCCGCAGACGCGCGCGTCGCCGCCATGTTTAATGTATAAAGCCGCCTCACAGCGTGGAGAAAGCAGATGATAAATATGCATGTATTCAATTAGAGGTATTACAGAGGAGGTGATTTACATAAAGATTTAGGAGCTTAACATCATATTTGTGCTCTAAAGCTTCTCAATGG